TCCGCTCAGTCCTGCTCAGTCTTTTCCTTACCCCTGAGCTCTCCAATTATGGGGACAATTGGAAGCTATTCTCTTAATTACGCCTCACTATTGGCAGAAAAGATCCTGTGTAAAACCCAGAGACACTGGGGGGGAGGGGGACTCCAGTTGATTTTTTCGTGTCTATTTTCCTCTGTGCCAAAGACAGACAGACAGAGGCTGAGAGAGGCTGTTTCTGAATCAAAGCAACAGCCACCTTTTGACATAGACCAGGGCTGTCTGAGAAGGGGAAGGCTCCTGGAAACAGTGCGAGCTACAGCTTCCCTTCTGAGGCTCCTGGGGGGTGTAGGGCCCATCCGTGCCAAGGGCTAGGGAGCTGAGAAAGGGGTCCGATGGCTCCTGGTTGCACTTTGGGGAAGGAGGGGAAGTTTGGGGCTCCTCCACATGGAACTGCTCTTCGTCCCCTGTCCCCACTGCAGAGATAGCATGGGAGTTCCCTTCAGGCCTGGCAGACTGGCAGTGAGGAGGGGCCTCAGTTAGCTCTAAAGGGTGCCTTCCCCTCCTCCCACCCCAGACATAACCTCTGCCAAACTGGGAACCAGCAGTGCTATGTAACTACCTCACAGAGCCCCGGAGGGACCGTCTGAGCTTCCGATTCACTAAGAAGCTTGCTGCCGGCCTCTAGTCACCCCCTTTCTCCCACCTCCCCTCAAGGGGTGGGGGTGAGGGGGTCTCTTTTCTTTCCTCTGCCCCCCCCAAAGTTTTTATGGGGCAATCTTAGTGGCTTTGACATTCGGACCATGCAAATGGTTTGCCTGTTTGTTGAAAAGTGGCAGAAGAAGGGCACAGCCTGACAGTAATCGCAGGAAGATGGAAGAGGAATCCTCAATGCCAGGGGAGAAAAAGCCATTTCCTTTCCAAACACTCGATGATTTAGATGCAGAACATTTCTCTTATATTCAGATTTAGAGTAACACCAGCTGAAAACTTCAGTTTCTTTCCTTTGGATGCATAAGGCTTCTCTAATGGGGTACAGAACAGGGAGGAGGCCTCATGACTGAAGGTGGACTTGGAGGGTGGGGGCCAGAGCCCCAACCCTGACCCTCGGCCCTGTGCACCTCTTTGGGGGCACAGTTTGATGGCATCATTACTGGTGCCTTAGTATGGTTGAATCTGGACTGACAAAAGAAAAGAATTTTTTTTCTAATGAAATAGCAGGAAGCTCCTCGCGAGCATGTGTTTTGAGTAACCACAGGTGATGGATGCTACGAGTATAAATGGATTAACTACCTCAATCCTTACAGTAAGAGTGGAACCAAGGGCAGGGACCTGTGCGTAGGGTAGGAATCCCAGCCAGGAGGAATGAATGAAGGCTTGTGCCACAAAAAGGTTTGTCCGTAAGCAGGCAGGCCTGCCAGGATCTCCCACTCGTATCGATTGGGTTGGGAGGACTGGCCATTAGGTCCCCCCTTTCTGCCTTCCTTGCCCTGGGGTCCCATGTTTCACCCCATTCCCTCCAGCTTGTCCCTCTCACCTGCTATATCTTTGTTGGACCAGAGGGTGAGGAGAGGAATTGCCTCCTCTTCTACCAAAGGGGGCTGGCTGGAGGTGGAATCTGGGGCTTGGCCTGGAACCCACCACTCAGCCCCAAAGCCAGGAAGCCTGGGGAAGCCAGAGCAAAGACCTCTTCAACAGGGTTTCTTTGAGATGCTCCGCCTCCTCTGTATCCGCTTCTCAGTCTCCACGGGGACAGTTGGCTCTAGGAGAAGAGGTGGAGCCAGGATCCTTTGTCCTGAGAGTCTGAGGGCCAGGTCCTCTGGTCGCTCAGGTGTCTTTGTAGTTGGGGAGTTCCACTGGGCGGCCCCAGCCCCTCCCCACCCTCTAACGGACCTCCTCATAGAAACCCCATTTCACTTTTGTTTTATCTACCTCTTAGCAAGACAATAGAGATAAATTAGGTAGTTGGCAACTCCACTTGCTTAGGTTAGGGGGGGGAAAAAGATTTCTTTTTCCAAAGGAAAAAATATTACCTTAAAAATGCTTTCCAAAAAATTTAAAAAACCAAAAAAAAAAAAAAAAAAAATTAAAAAAAAAAAGAGGGAGACATTTTCCAGTGACTACTGGATTATTTTAATTTCCCAAACTTTTCTTTTTTCCCCCGTAAATAAGTTTCACTCTTTGGCGATGGCGTGCTTTTCTAATAGGTACTGCTTTTACAATTGCCCCCTGGCCTGCCCCTCCCCCCACACCCCATTCCTGCCTGTGAGTCCTACCTGTGTTTCTCACCTGTTACCCTCCCAGCCAGGTGACTTCCGTCACCCCCACCAAGAACTAAGGCTTTGTGTGTTTTGGGGTGCTTAAGTCTCGACTCGCCATTTCCCCCTGTGGGGGTCAGGGGGCCACTGTTAACACATGTAAATTTTATGTAACCCACTGCAATGGAAAGGTGTCGAGATGAATTTCAGCAGATAATAGATGAGTTTGCATCATGAATACACATCTACTACCATTTGGATTCTCCCCTTTCTCCAGCATCTTGATCCACGTCCCAGAAACCGGAGTATGTCAAAAGAGCCCCCTCCCCTGAGGCAAAGCAAATGGGGACCCAATCCTGAGAAGTCACTTATTCAGGAGAGTGAAAAATGTATTGTTATGAATGCAAATCACAGTGGGGGCTGGAGTGGGGGGGACTGGTGTTTGTGATTGTGCTACTCTATTCTGTAAATGCGACCACTT